TGATTATGGTTTATGAGTATATTTATAAGTTTATGGAACTGTAGTTTTACAATTTTGGAAGTATAGTTGTACATTTATGGAATTGTAGACATACAGTTTTGGGTGTAGTACTCTGTTAACCTTACTCTGTGCACCAAACTGCATTCATGCCTTCTTAACATAATTTGCTTTGTGCGTATACTTATGGAATTGTAGTTTTACAATTTTGGAAATATAGTTGTGCGTTTATGGAATTGTAGTTATAGAGTTTTGGATGTAGTACTCTGTGAACCTTACTCTGTGCACCAAACTGCATCAATGCCTTTTTAGCATAATTTGCCTTGTAGGTATGCTTATGGAATTGTAATTGTACAATTTTGGGAAGTATAATTGTGCGTTTATGGAATTATAGTTTATACAGTTTTGGATGTATTACTCTGTGAACCTTACTCTGTGCACCAAATTGCATTCAAATCCTTTTTAGCATAACTTGCCTTGTGGTATACTTATGAGATTATGGAATTGTAGTTTTACAATTCTGGAAGTATAGTTGTGTGTTTATGGAATTGTAGTTATGAAGTTTTGGATATAGTACTCTGTTAACCTCACTTGATGTTTTTTATTTGCAGAAATGGATCAGTCAGGTGTGGCAGATGATTCTACACTTGGTCAATTTGTGAAGTCTGTAAAAAAGAGAACAACCAGAGCCAGTATTGAGCTCACAAGCTGCTGAACTCACCCCCTGCCCAGGAAGATCAAGCAGAGCCTTCGACAAGGCAACAACCAGCAGCTGTAAAAAGAAAGAGGGCACCACCACAAAAGCGAGAGAGAGTACGGGACCCTGATGTGAACTACTTCAGTACACGAATGGGTCTCAAGCAAATGTATGACCTTGTCCAGCGTCTAACACATGACCAAAAGGATGCTGTGATTGATATGGGTTTTGGAGGGCTGCTGCACCTACAATTTTCAAGCAATTACTCACAACTTGTTGAGTATCTCCTGCAAAGGTTTGATGTTTTCAAATCAGACTTCATATTGGATGGTGACCATCTACATGTCGGTGAAGAGGATGTTGAATACATCTTGGGACTCCCCCGGGGGAAGAGAGATGTTGAGGAAGGTACAAAGAGTGAGGAAAATTCTACAGCTGCATATAATAAGGTCCTGACTGAGTGGAGGAAAAGATGGAATGTCAGGTCAGGGTCACCCATAACAACAAAGATGCCTGATGAAATAATCAGGAGAGGTGACCATGGAGATGCCTTCAAGAGAGACTTTGTGGTGTTTGCTGTCTCATCTCTGCTCCGGGGAAATACTGGAAGATATGCCAACTATCGAGTTATCAAGTCATTGCTCAACATCCGGTCAATCTCAAGACTTAATTGGTGCAAGTACACGTACAATTCTTTAATTGATTCGTATGACATTTACAAAGACTCTCCTACCAGATCCTTTGGAGGTCCAATGGTATTCATCCTGGTAATATCCCATTATACATAAAATGTTCTAATTATGTAATTATATTCATGCAATTATGGAATCATAGATATGCAATTCTGTATGTGTGGTTATGCCCTTATGGATGTGTAGTTTTGTAATTGTGGAATTGTGGTTTTCCAATTATGGAATAATAGTTTTACAATTATGGAATTATAGTTAATCAATTATAGATGTGTAGTTTATGGATTATGGAATTATAGTCATCCAATTATGGAATTATAGTTATGCAATTATGGAATTATAGATATGCAATTCTGGATATCTAGTTTTATAATTATGGAATTATAGTTATGCAATTATGGAATTATAGATATGCAATTCTGAATATGTAGTTATTCAATTCCTTAACATACTCTTCTGTACTTCTTGAAGCTCTTCTACTTTGACCGAGTACAGTTCAGAGGCATGACCGTCAACCGCACATTCCCAGCAATAAAAGCTTGGACAAAAAGCCTTGTACGCAAGCGAGTATCGGCTGAGATAAAATCAGGGGGTTTTGGTAAGGGCAAAGTTATCCCTCGATTTCAGAGACCTACTGCCATTGCATCTACATCATCACCCCGACCTGCACCTCCTCCTGCTGCAATACCAAGGCCAGTGTCCAGCCCTGCTGCTACACCAACTATTCCAGCTCCATCTGTGCCTCTGACAAATGTTGACCGAGTAACAAATGTGCTTCAACGGCTTACAGCAGATGTCCTTGAGTTCGGTCAGGTCATGTCTGACATTGGCAAGCAAGGGGCCCCGGTTGAAATCATGAAGAGGGCTTTTTCAGGAATATCAACAATGCTGAGTGCTGCAAGCACAATTCAACCGACTCCTAGCCCAACTGCCTCGCAATTGGATGACATCTTCTTCGGAAGTGAGAGCTTCACATCAGCAGTTGATTCTCTGGTAGCAGCTTTTGAAAAAACAAGAAAGGAAATGGAAATAGAAGTCCCATCATTTGAGCTACTTGGACGCTCTACACCAACCCCACCACCATCTCAACAGCAGCCTTTGGACACCTTGGTGGATAACATTGTGAGGAGTGCAGGAGTATCAACCTCAACAGAGAAGGAAGCAACTCCATTACTAATCAGAGTGCCATTCGAAAAGTCCACCACTCCTACTACCCCTGCTGCCCAAACTGCTGCTGAGATTGATGAATTTGATAAGTAGGTTACTGCTTTCTTATGCAGATTTAGACTATAAATATGGTTTTCAATTCATCAATAATTATGAATATTAAGTTTGATTAATATGAATATATTCTTATTCAACTAGTGACGTTGATTTCTTTACAATTATGGATATGTATTTCTCAAATTATGGACATATAGTTTATAGATTATAGAAATGTAGTTATACAATTCTGGAATTATACTTGTGGGGTTATGAACTGCCTCTGTTTTTTTCTGGACAACAGGGCTATGGATGAAAGTGAATCTGATGTTGAGGATGTTACTGTGAGAAAGAGACCTGTGCGCAAATTCAGGAACATCCCGCTTCATTTGAGGTCACCATATTGGAATAAGAACAAAGGCTCCATCAATAATGCAACTCCCAAAGAAAAGGTTTTTTCAAACTACGCATTTTTGGAAGCCTCAAGTGAGCACCCGGGAGGGTATGTTTCCATCCACCAATTTTACTTAAATTTTATTCATTAATTTATGTTCTTATATTTATTTATTTACTGTATTGTAGAGAGACATTGTTCAAATATGGTGATTACTACTTCACAAGGGATGATTTTGCAACTATGTGCAACGGTGAGCTACTGAGCAGCTTCCTAGATGTCTGGTCCCTACGTTTTACATTGCTGAACATGCCCCGTGCGGTTGGGGAGACAAAGCGGGTCTACTTCTCCACCCTAGTACATGTAAGTGTTCACAAATTATG